CTAAACACCACTAAATTGTACTTCTTAAAATTTATTCCTTTTTGGGTCACACCCAGTGATGCACAGGGGTTACTCCTAGCTCTACACTCAGGAATTACTCCTGGTGGTGCTGGGGGACCATATGAGATGCTGGGAATCGAACCCAGGTTGGCCCCATGCAAGTCAAATGCCCTACCCACTGTGCTATTACTCCAGCCCCCCTGAATTGTACTTTTTAAATAAGGGTTTTTTCTGTCACGCCGTATTTTTAGGGTTGGGGCTACATTTGGTGGGGATCAGGGTCTACTCCTGGCTCTGAGCTCAAAGATCACTCTGGGCAGGAATTGAGGACCATCTGCAACTGGCCATGTGCAAGACAAATACCTTCATGCCTGTGCTATCTCCCCAGTCCCAGGCACATTTTCATATATAAATTATAGCTCAGTCAAGTTGTTGGGAATATAAGGGGCAATTTCAGACACACTGAAGTATCCAAGAACTGATCAAGGGCTGGATGTAGGGACTAGAAAGTTAGAGCTCTCTGGGAGCACGGAGAGGTGAGAGGAATCAAGGATTGTCCTGCGGATCTGACTGGGGAGGGAATAAGGTGAGAAGAACCCTATTGCGGATTGCGGTGAACACAGGTGTTGAAGTGTCTATGAATCCCACACTTGAACAGCATTTCTCAAACTCCACATGAATATAAAATCCACACAGATTTTGTTGTGTTGTTGTTGTTATTGTTTTGGGGAATCCCACACCCCTGTGGTACCTAAGGGCTATTCCTGGCTCTGTGCTCAGAAGTGACTCTTGGCATGACTGGGGTGAGCAAAATGCAAAGCAAGTGCCTTACCCCCTGCACCAGCTCTCTGGCCTCAGGCACGATTTTTTTTTTTTTGCTTTTTGGGTCACATCCAGTGATGCTCAGGGGTTACTCCAGGCTCTTCACTCAGGAATTACTCCTGGCAGTGCTTGGGGGACCATATGGGATGCCAGGGATTGAACCTGGGTTAGCCGCATGCAAGGCAAACATCCTACCCACTGTGCCATTGCTCCGGCCCTGCATGATTTATTTTCGAGGCATTATCAGTCACAAATTTCAGGAGTCCAGCTTGAACCTTGATAAATGCATACATTACACTGCACCCACCAGAATTCTAGTCACCATTTATTTCTTTACAAATAACTCCCTCTTCCCATCCTTTCACCCCACTTTTCCTTCCCCCTTCCCTTCCCCCTGTAACCAACATTTTGTTGTCAGAGCAAGATTTTATCTTCTCTTTGTAAACAGCTGAGTCATATTCCTTATCTATATATGCCTTTGTCTTTGTTCATGGATGGGCACTGAGGTTGTTTTGCGGTCTCAGCTATCGCCAACGGGGCTACAGTGGGCAGTCTCATGCAGGGCAGAATGGAGCTGCAGTGTTGGACGGTGCCTGTGAGATGCCAGGCACTCCCCGCCCTCCCCTAGAAGAACACCAGAAATATCTCCTGCCAAATGTCCTCTGGGGACAAAACTGCCACAGCCAAGAACCACATATCAGGAGAGAAAGAAAGATCTTAACTAATTTTGCCCTTAGTCTTTTTTCCTTTGAGATGGAATTCACACATTATACTATTTAATACTGAACAATTAGGCGGGTTTTGTTGTTGTTGTTGTTGTTTTGGGTCACACCTGGCGATGCACTGGGGTTACTCCTGGCTCTGCACTCAGGAATTACTCCTGGTGGTGCTCAGGGGACCATATGAGATGCTGAGAATCGGACCCGGGTCGGCCACATGCAAGGCAAATGCCCTGCATGAGCTATCACTCCAGCCCCCAATTAGATGTTTTTTAAGACCACACAAGGTTAAGCAATCATCAACACTAAGGCCAGATGATCTCACCATCCCCTGAAAGAAACTATTAGCAGTTATGCCCCTGTCTCCCTTCCAACTGGTACACCCATTTGTGTATATCATCAGGCGAGGGATTCGCAGAGCACTACCATGAATTCTCACAGCCAGGATCCTGGGAAGGCGGACGTTTTTATTTTTTTCTTAAGTATATATGTCAAAGGGTAAAAATGCTGGATCACATGGAACCCTCGGTTTAACCTTCTGAGAAACTGTTAAACTATTTCAAAGTGGCGGAGCTGTTCTATGTTCCTGGCAACGAGTTGTAAGGGTTTGGATTTCTCCACATGCTCAACACTTGTGATCTTCCTGAACCCACAGCTATCATTTGTTTATAAATAAAGTTTTATTTTCATTTAAGCAGTGCTCAGGGAGCTCCCAGGACCACTCTCAGCGATACTCAGCTAATTATACTAGATAGTTCAGATATATGGGGTGATAATTTAGGGCACCCCAGCAGTACTCAGAACTTCCAGGGCCAATCCTGATAATGCTCTAGGGAACATGTGGTGCTAGTTTGAATTCAGGTCCCGATGCAGCCAACCATGGTTCCCAACCACTGAGCTCTCTTCCCAACCCCTAAGCTTTGCACCTATAGGTAACTTTAGAGATGAGAAAACTAATGGTCAGATGAAGGGGACAAACAAATCAGTAAAGTCTATTGCAGCACTGAATTTTCATTCTATTGATAACCATATAATTAATTACAATAATATTCTGTACTTCATAGAAGCTCTGGGTAGGATGACATATAATCTGTTCATGCAATTTTTTTCAGAGACCCATCCACATACATACTTTCCTCTCATCTGTTCACACATCCTTTGGCAAGCATCCCCTTTCTTCTTTGCATTATTACTTTTGCCCTCTTTATTGGATCGTTCCACTTCACATTAGCATAACTCTGTAGTGTCTCCCGTCTTAAAACATAAACTTCCTTCTATCCATCTCCCCTTCCTGTGTCAGTCCCAATCATCTTTCTTTTACAGCAAAACTTCTACTCATTTGCTTCCAACTTCTCTCCATTCTCAATCTCATTTCCAACATTCCACCCGAATGTCTGTCAATCACCAAAGACTGTCATATTTAAATAATCCCCATGCCTTGAATCACTCAGTTTATGGGTAACTTTACATATCAATAGCCATTCCTTCCTTAAAACACCTTTCCCTTCTCACCCAGACAAGACCACTCCCACTTTTCCCCTTCCTTTCCTTGCTGTCACTCTGCCTCCATCTCATTTGCTGTTTCTGCTTCATCTTCCCAACCACTAAACATCATATTATCACAGGACTTGGTCCTTGGACCTCTGTTTTCCCCTACTTAGACATCAAGTAAAAGCCAACTTTTTTTTTTCTGCAGTACCTCCCCTTATTCTCCCCCAATCCTCCCAATCTCCACACACAATAAATACTGAGTCCTTTTATCCACTTTTCCATGCAGCTTGGAGTCATCCCTGGCTCCGTTTTTTTTTTTTTTTTTTGGAGGGGGGAGGCGGGGAAACACACCCAGAAATGCTCAGAGCTTACTCCTGGCTCTGTGTACTCTGAGATCTCAGGGATTTCTCCTGGCTGAGCTCAGGGGATTATACGGGGTGTTGGGGATCAAACCTGAGTCAGCTGTGTGCAAGTGTGTAGTGTCCTACCCACTGTGCTTCTCCGTGCCCTGATTTTTCTCTTTGGTCCTCACTCCTCCCATCAGTTTTGTTCAGAATCTCATTTCCATTTGTCTTCGCCATTAATGATTGAATCCCAGCTATCATTTCTCAACTGTTACCGTTGCCTCCAAGCTAATCTCCCTTCCATCCATGCCCTTAGAGTCCAGACTCCCACAGCAGCCAGGGAATCCTCTTTAAATGGGTGGGAATGTATCGATCCACAGGGCTGGCTGTGAGGCGTTGACCCAGCAGTCACTTCCACACTTCTCCATGCCCAAACTCATCAAGTTCCTCCTCTGCAGACTCTGGGCTTTGCCGTGAGACTTGCTTTGGCTAATGTGGCAGTGTAGACATGCTGCAGCAGAGGCCTGGAAGGCACGTGCTCACTGCAACGTGGTATACCTTGCTGCTGGGATCCCCTCTGCCTCCATGAGAGGCCTGCTGGGGGGGGAGGGGGTGCTGTGTGAATAGCCCCGCCCCGCCTGCCTGTCCAACCATGTCCCCCGCTCAGAATGGGTTGATCCTATCCAGAAGCATTATCTGGGGTTTCAGTGGATGGGGCTCAGTGGACAGGGCACCTGTTCTGCATGGGGAAGATCTGGGTTTGATCCTCAGCACCATGTGGTCTTCCCAGCACTGCCGGAAGTAAGTCCCAGAACTGCTGGTGTGGCCTCCAAACAAAAGCAACCAAGAATAACATGGCCAAACTAAAGCATCATGAGTAGCTCATTTGGTTATAGTCATTTCTGAATAATAAAAAGTGAAAGCCACTAAATTCTTGGGCAGCAGCGAATGAATCAGCACTTGCTTTTGTTAACCGCTGTACTGCTGTTTTACACAGAATAAAAGCCAACATCATCCCACATCTTAAAGCTCCTAATGAAATACTCTAGGCACAGCCCTGTCATTGCCCCTTCCCCGCCCCCCTGCTTTATTTTTCCTTTGTCACTGCCTGACATATGCATTAAATATTTGTTGTCCATCACACCTCTCACACACAGAGAAGATGCCAAAATGAATGGTCTACAAAGGCCGAATTTTGTCCATCTTTTCAGCACTCTAAGAACTATAGGAATTTTATCAGCAGGAAAATAATGAAAATAGTGGTGCTTCTGCCAAATTCAGTATCTAGGCCTAACACCTGAAATATTTCAGGAGGCACAGATGGGACAGGGGCAACTGGGCTGAGGTTGCATGCAAGCTGAATTCCTTGGTACCCTGATTCTGGAGACCTTTCCAACTGCCTGGCCCCGGAGGACTCAGCAGTTCTGGGCTGTCACTGGACAGTATGGAACTCAGGTCCTCTTAGTTTTTCTTCCCCCAATCTTCCCTCCACTCCCCATCAATGGGTGACCTCACTTTGTCAGACCAGCTAAATGTCCAGTTATTGATGGGGAGAAACACAACACACACACACACACACACACACACACACACACACATACACAAAAAAAGCCAAGAAAGTACATACTATCAGCATAGAAATTTATTTGAATTGAAAATAATATGGTTCTATTTAGAATGTTATAATTTTCTAAAGCAAGTATCATCATTGGCTCTGAAACAGATCTAAAGATGTCATTCTTCTGAAGTCAAAAAATATGTAGTAAGAATGTACAAGGAAGCAAAACATAGAAAACAAGTTTTCTGAGTACTGGGAGTTGTGAGGGGCACACTGAGATCCTGCAACTGAGCCCGAATGAAGAGCTGTGAGGCAGGAGTGGTCTCGCTCCATCCCAGCCTGAGCAATGCGAGCATGCCACCACCGATGCCAGCAGGCCAGGGGAGTCCTGGCACCTCGGAGGGGCACGGGGAGTGACGCACTGCACCTCCCCTCCTCCAACTCCTTTCCTCACACTGAGTTGTTTTCTTTCCTTTAAGACAGGGTTTACCCTGTTGAAAAAAGTTTGGTTTTATTTGAAAAGCAGAGTAACTCAGATCCTGATCAAATACGCAACGATTTAGTTGAAGATGTTCAGGGATCGTACTTCGGAAAAAGGTCAATTGGCTCACTAGCAGAGACCATCAGTGGCTTGTAGAAAAAAAGAAATCGGAGAGGATGTTTCCTAAATCGTTTCAAAGAATAAGCAGTTAAAAATGGGTGGAAAATCCTAGGGTTTATTTGGCCTTAGAGGATCAAAAGCAGATGGGTGGCCTGTGATTAAACCCATTTACTTGTGGAGTGAGCTAGGAGGAGGCTCCAAGGTAGAGTTTGGTTTCCAACAGAGTCCACGGCCAGAGGGCCACCTCAGATGCTCTCCTCCTCCCGCAGGAACTGGAACACGGATGAGAAGTCTTTCTTTGCGTAGCCCTTCGCACACATCATCCTATAGATTTGGTGAGCCTGGCTTCCCAGAGAGATGGGGCTCTTTGTGTTGGTAGCAGAGTCTTGCGCCAGTCCCAGGTCCTAAATCAAACAAGGGAGAAGGGAACACATTGAGACGTGGTCAAGGTTCACCGTGCACCGGTGACTCCTGGGGCCTGGGTGTCAGAGAAGAAAAAATGAAGTCTGAAGAGGTAATGGTGCTACAAGCACATGAGAAGAATGTGTGTGTGTGTCCACACGCACAGTTATAGAGAGATATATTTAGACATGTCTTCACTGACTATAAAGCTGCTGTGGCCAGAAATCTTGTATTTCTTACTACCTACTCCCAATCATCTGCAGAGAGAGCTTGCGGTACGTGTGCCTGACATCTGATGATACTGGGAATTGTGTTTTGTTTTGTTGGGAAGGAGGGGGCATGTCTAGCTGTGCTCAGGGATTACTCCTGGCTCTGCACTCAGGGACCACTCCTACTGGGGATCAGATCACTCCTGGTGTGGCTCAGGGGACTGTATGTGGTGCGAGGGATTGAACCCACATGATAGGCAAGTATCCTACCCACTGCACTGGGAGATGATTTTTTTTTTAATCTGCAGAAACCTAAGATAAGTGTCATCATGGAATGGGTGAGTAGGCATTCAATCTGTTATTCAACAAATATTTAGAAACTGCCTACTGTGAGGCATCTTCTATACGTCCGTTACAGATACCAGCATGACTGACTAATACTGTTCTCAGTATGCATGCTGTCCGCAGGGAAGGCAGACAACAAAACGAACACTAACGTTCCAGAAAATGACAAGTGCTAGGAATAAAAATAAGGCAGGTTAAGAGGTTGGGAAGTGATGAGTGGGGTGGGAGAAAGAGTTCTGATATGTGAAGTATTTAGGGGAGACATTCTTGGGGCATGGAAAGCGGACCCAATATTGGAATATTAGGAATAAGTGAGTTCTTTGGAGAGTCAGGGGAAGAGTTTCAGGGAAGTGGCCAAGCAAGCCAAGGCCCATAGGAGAATACGTCAAGGTTATCTAAGAAACAGAAACCCAATGTGGCTCAAGGAACAAAGATGTTAGGGGCAGGAAGGAGGCCCAGGATGAAAGACAGAAGCTTTAGCTCAACTGGTCAGAAGTCTAGACTTAAAGCGCAAAGGGACAGTCATCTTTACAATGATTCTTAAAATCTCAGAGTGAAGCACTAGCTCTAGAAAACTGAATGTTAGGGCTGGAGTGATAGCACAGCAGGTACGACATTTGCCCTGCATATGGCCAACTCAAGTTCGATTCCCAACATCCCATATAGTCCCCTGAGCACCGCCAGGAGTAATTCCTGAGTGCATGAGCCAGGAGTAACCCCTGTGCATCGCCGAGTGTGACCCCCTTCAAAAAAGAAAACTGAATGTTTGCTTAGAAATATTAACTATAACTCTTTACTGGGGTTATAGAATATTCTAGAGTTAAAGTATAGGTTAGAGATAAAAAATATTCACTACCACCCAAATGGAATCTTGTTCAAACTTGAAAAACCTGGAGTAAATGGAAGACACAAATATTTGAAACAATATTCCCTGTATTTTGCTTCATGTGTCTTGTGTTATTTTAAAAGAGCTATAAAACACATGGAAAAATGGTAGATTTTCTTCTTCCCATTACTAATCTCACTTCTCTCAGCATGGAAAAGTTATTGAACAATGAAAGAGAAAGATGCGGAAGATTTCTGTGCCTGGAGAAACAGCCTAGCTAACTGAGAAGTTACCGATATCATCCACTCAAAGGAAGAGAAGCAAGAAGAATGCATGAACTCGCTAGTGTATTGAGTATCTAGGACGTTTGTGCTTATTTATGTGACTTTCACATCTCTGCTTAAACTTAATTCCTCTACAGCTTCCACTGAAAAGACACTTTAATTATAACCCACACACTTAGAACCACCTACGAGCTGTATCATTGCCTATTCCCAGGCCAAAGTAAAGGGCAGCTGGGCAGTGAAGCCCAGAGCCAAGTCCCGGGACTGAGCTGGTGTAGAGAGCTGGTCAGACCTGGTGCTTTCTAAGCAGAAGCTTCTTCCTTCCTCTACCTGACTTGTTAGCAGGTTCTCTGCCTGAGCTCTTGGCATTCCTATAGACACCAAATAAGCCATCAGGTCACATCCTGTTTTGTATGAATACATACTGGAAATTGGGCACAAATATGATTCTTTCATTACCCCATGTACTTTCATGTACCCAGCAATTTTGATGAAAACAACAAACTTCGGGAGCTACTTTCTGTTTTCAAAACAGCTGCTCAGTGTGGTGATAGATACCCACATGCCGGGTCTGCGAGCCTGAACACAAGGTACTGATTGGCATAAAAATAAATGTTTTTGACCGAATTGAAGAGAAATAAAACTGCAAAATAAAGAAACACAGTTTTAAATGTTCTTTCATCCAGTAAATATTAAAAGTGTGCTGACCATGTGCCAGAAGCCAGGGTGCAGTGATCTGGCCAGGAACCAGTGAGTGTGGGGGGTTGCCAGTGAGCAAGAAAAAAGGGATAGAAAGGAGATTTATAAGGCCCCAGCTGAGGAGAGTGGGAAAACAAAGGTGAACCCCCAAAAGCAGGCTGAGGTAGGCCATGAAAGGTTGAGTAGACCCCTGAACAGAGATACTTCATCTGGAGGTGTTTCCAGTTTAGGGAGTACCTGCCTGTTGTCGTGTGGGAAGTGACTGGGCAAAGGTGAGACTGAAGGGCAAGCAGACCAGTGGGAGGCGAGAGTGGGAAAATCAAACTGAGGCTGAGCCGGGGCTGGAGTGATAGCACAGCGGGTAGGGCATTTGCCTTGCACGCAGCCAACATGGCCGACACAGGTTCAATTCCCAGCATCCCATATGGTCCCCTGAGCACCGTCAGGAGCAATTCCTGAGTGCGTGAGCTAGAAGTAATCCCTGAGCATCACCGGGTGTGATCCAAAAAGAAAAAAACAAAACAAAACCTGAGGCTGAGCCTAGGGTCAAGTAGGAACGGAAGCATTCGCCTTGCGCGAAGCTGACCCAGGAACCCTGGCACTGCATATGATCCTCTGAGCCCTGCCAGGAGGGATTCCTGCACATTGCTGGGTGTGGCCCAAAAACCAAAACTGAGAAGAGAAAAAAAGAAAGAAAAGAAGCAGAAAAGAATGAGCAGCGCATCAGGGAGACTCAAGGGCAGTTGGTGGAATATGGTCTGCAAGTGAATTTATTATTGTTTTGGTGATCAGAAAAGGAAAAAAAAAATCCATTTGGGGAGAAATAAGCTCTGTCCAGAAACATGAATGCCTGCCTCACAAAAAAAGTATTTCCTGGGGGTATGATGCCGCCAGCAGGTCAATCTGTACCTGTGAGGTAAGTGCATCAGCAGCCTGATGGTGCCTTCAGACTTCCAGATACCCCCAAATTGCTGCTGTACATCTGGCCAGACCCCAAAAACTTGGGGCAAAGTTTACCAAGAAAGTAAATGGCCAAAAGTTAGATATGTGGGAGACACACCCACAAACCACCTCCAGCTCAGCTATATAATTGGAGGCATGGCCTCTCTAGTTACTGATCAAACTGCTTAATGGCCATGATCCCAGAGAGTCAGAAACGAATCTCAGAACCCAGAGGCTTTTGGCAGAAATGCGTCTGGACTGAGCAGTAGGTTACTGTCACCGGGCCACCCCAGGGGGGAAAGGGTGCTGTCCCTTCGCCTGCTCTCCCTTTGCAGTTCGGTGGCTGTCATCCTCCAGAGGCCACTGGACAGTCAGGTTTGGGCCCTCAGTGACAAGACATGTGGGGCCTCATGGGAGGGGGGTGGAGCCGGCCCTTTCCTCCCCGTCCCAAGGAGACCCTCAGTCGCCGCCCATGAACGGCCTCTCTGGCTCCTGATCAAGCTGCTTAACAGCTATGATCCCAGAGACTCAGGAACAAATCTCAGAACCCTGTAGGTTTTGGCAGAAATCCCTCCAGATTTAATTGTTAAAATTCCAGAATTTCAAAATCACGTGGCCACTACTGCAGCCGCATGACATCATATGTTATTCATAACCAGCAACAGAAAATAAATTGTCTACTGTTGCCTTTTCAGCAGATCTGAGTGTTGGGGTAAAATCTCAAATAATAATGGTGGGTCTGGTGTCAAAATATTGAATGTAATCAAAGTAGAAAGAGAGAAAGATGGAAATCATCTGCCTCACAGGTAGGGGGAGGGTGTGGGATATGGGTATACTGGGGTTTTTGGTGGTGGAGAATGGGCACTGGTGACGGTACAGGTGTTTCATTGTATGACCAAGACTTAAACCCGAAAGCTTTGTAACTATTCTCATGGTGATTCAATAAATAAAATTTTAAAAAATGAAAAAAAAATTATTTCCTAAAGTTGAGAAGAAGCCAATGATTTTCTTTCCTAACAACTTTCCAAAAAATACATACACTCTTAGAGTGGGAGGATGTATTTATTATGATGAGAAGGGTCCTCTCTCTTTCTGTGATAGGCACATTTCATGTCAATGCATTATTAAATATCAGAAAATTGTTACCCCATTCATTCTAAGGACTTAGTCAATCCTTGCACAATCATGAAGGAACAAGACTTTACCAGCTCACACTGCAAACCAACCCTAGAACAAAAGAAAAATCCCAGCCCACTATTTTATCCCAAAAGGCCAAGAATAAAAACAAACAAGATTCAAATTTTTATCTAGGCTCTGTTTTCACTCATTTCCAATGAGTAAGTAAATCACTGTTCTAGTAACCTGGCCTTTTGGGACAGACATATGTTTTGTTGAAAAGGGCGGCTGCAGAGAGGAGGAGGTAGAGGAGGAGGATGGGAGCCTTTGGCATTGTTCCATCTCTCCTGCCCCATCCCTGCATTCGCCTTACCTTAGCCATGAGTGCTGATCCGAATCCACCCTGATAGTTATTTGCAGAGGGAACTCCATCCATCACCCCAGGTACAGGATTGTAAGTGTCACTTGACCAGCACCGTCCCGAGCTCATGTTCAGGATTTTAGCCAAGAGCCGTGGGTCAAGCCCTAACCTGTCAAAGGTCAAAGAAAAGAAGTGTTAACTGTCAAAATGTACAAGTCACGTGTGACTTATTTATGTGTGGGGATGTTCCATCTTCCCTGTCCATTTACTCCATGTCTTCAAAAATCAAAGCTGAATGATGGGAGAGAAGAATCCAATCTCAAATTATAGGGTATTAAAAACCAATGATTAAACATTGCTGAGTCAGGCCATTAGGCATGGAGAGAAAACCTCTGCTATCCTAATTTTAAGAAACAATAGATAACTATAAAAGTGTTGTCAATTTATCGCACACATGGGTTTTCTAGTCTTTTGGACATTATTGTATTTATGTGTCACATAAGAACCTTAAACCTGTATGATCACCTAAATTCTACATTCTTGATTCACAAATGATGTATTTCAGGAAGAAATATTGACAGATATAACTAAGTATCATGGGAGTCCGTGCAGATGCATTTATATGTATGTTTATTCTTCTAGCTTTTATGAGGATAAATGTAAGAGATGAGCCAAGAGCAGTAAAATAGGCTTATGAGAAGTTATCATTATCCAAGAAGACATTTCTTGCTGCAAACTTTTCCTTATTTATTAAATCTTCATTAGACAATCTTGCTTATGAAGCAAGTCTGCACAGAGTTGTGACATATGCTATCTATTCAGAGACATGCATTATAGTTCTGGGTCAACTGCTGATAAGGTTACTGATCCTGATAAAACAAAGCTTGCCCAAGCGGAAACATCATTTGTTCTATCACCGAGCTGATGGCATAAACGGCTGTTCCATGTGAACCTAGAGGGAAAAACTCAAAATGCTGCATTATTTTTATTCTAAGTATCTTTAATGGAGTTTGGGAAGAACAGTTCTGCTAAGCAGCATGGAATTAAGTTTCAAATAAAACTTTACACCCAGCGATTTATTGATTTCTTTAATACCAGGAGCCATTATGAGACAATTGCCATAAAAGCTTTCTGCCTTTTCTTAAAACCAGTCTCTTCCAGAATTAACAACGAATACTGAAAAGAAACACATGTAAGTGCTAAAATTACGCTTTTGGGCTTAAGTTCTTGTTTATTTTGTATGTTCAAATATACACCTGTGTTCTTCCAAACCTGACTATCACTGCCAGTGGAGCATTTTCCCGTTGCCTGGCAAAGGCTGGGCTGCTACAATGTCTATGTGGGATTCCCGCCTCACATAATTGTTTTCCAGGAGCCTTGTGGGTCAAGGCTATGGTTCAAAGCTGTGTGTGTGACATGTATGTGAAGTCAAACAGTGGGTCATGTCATACTGTGGTGCTCTGTTTTGTTTTTTTTTTTTACTAAGAATTAAAATATCAAGAAGACTATTTAAATAGGCTGCCAGAACATTCTGTTCAATTGTGCATTGCTGGGGGCAGGGAGTGGGGTAAGCAGGAGGGAATACCAAGAGTTTGATTCATTCCTTTCTAAAGACCCAAATGTGTTGCATGTACAATTGCTACTGATGATTTCTTTTCCCTTTAAGGTAAAATTAGGTCATCGGTATACTACTGTAACAGATGACATTGGAAAAGGAAAAAAAAAAAACGATGTACTGAGGGGAAAATTGTGACAAGCAAAATCACAAATTATTAGTTAATTGCTATGGTCATAAATGTGTCCTTTAAGCATACCTGTTCAGGAACATAGCTAATGTGCTCCATAACGAGTGGGTATTTTATTTTGGAGGCACACCCAGCTGTGCTCAGGGTTTACTTCTGGCTCTGCACTCAGTGATTACTCCTGGTGGGCTTGGGGTACTATGTGGGGTGCCAGAGATGGAACTCAGGTTGGCCATGTGCCAGGCAAGTGTTCTGGCCCAATAGCAGATATTTCTAAGGCTCTCCAAAACACCACCTCTCACTTCCACTTGAAATATATTTAGGGGTTTTCTAATTCAGATGTTCTTTTGAAATGATTCACCCATAACACTGAAAGCATCTGAGTTACTCCCCATCTTTATAATGTACCAGGTAGGACTTCAGAAACAATCTTGACTGCTAAGGAAAACTATACTCTGCTTATAATACTCACCAAAATGATGAGCAAAGCTTATTGTTCTTCATAAAATCTTACACTTTTCTTGCGTGTTCAAGGAAGATGGCGGGCACCCATTTGTGGAACCCCTTTTGGTGAGCACATTATTGCTCAGAAGCATCCTGAGGGGCACACACAGAAATGAGGCAACATGCTCACTTTTCAAATCTGATGTTTTCCCACTGTGCTGGTACCCTTTCGGAAGATGCCCACACCCCCTCTGCTGCTCCTCCAGGCTCCCCACCCTCCAGCACACTGCATCATTAAAAAGAGTAAGTTAGAAGTGTTTTGCATTTCATCTTTTGGAAGATTCTTTCACAGGCACATCTATAACTGACAGTTAAAATTAGACATGATATTAAAATCAGTTACTGAAGTCCTCTGTCTTCCTCTGCGCCCAAGGCTTGTAATGGTCTGAAACCAGCTAGAATACACAGTAATTGTCATTCAGGGAGTCTATCCTAGAACGTCATGCTTCACTGGAGAAGACTGAGTTTCCATTTGAAATCAACAAATTAATCCAAGACAGGTATCTGAAAGGGCAAGTTTAATAGGAAGCAGCTACTGGGCTCTCAACCATGATAAAATGTTATTGCTGTTTCCCTGTAAATTGGCTGGGAACATATGATACTTTCTGCATAAGAGCCCCATTGCTGTTCAAGAGATATACAGCTCAAGCCATCAAAAGGATGACAGTCTGTCAGTCCCCATAATAACTTGCCACTGGATGTGGTTCGAGAGTGCACGCGTGCATGCATGTGGCTTTACAATTGCTGGAATGTTCTCTGATATAAACAGAGAAGAAATTCATTGCTCTGACCGCATATATAATGCAACTCAAATAAACGTCACTGTGTCAAATCTACTCACATTTAAAATACAAGAATTTTAAATGAACTTTTGGAAGAAGCAAAAATGATGCATAAATCGCAAAACAAAAACAAAGAATGAAAAAGATTCCAAATGCTTGCCTTCACTGCAACCAAGACTTTAAAAGGCCAAAAAAGTTTGCTCACTTTGTATTCGCTCTAAAAAGCTATCCTGTCTGGTGTCCTGTAAGAACAAAGCAAATTATATCACTAAGCTGAGATATCTGTATCACAGGAAAAGATCTGAGAAAGCAACGCCGAGACTCCATCCGTTGCAATCAATCATTCACTTGCTTGCCATCCTTTATATAGACCTGCTGCTGCTCTGTGCAAATGATGTGTTCAGAGCCAGGGAGACCACTGAAGAAGGCGTGCCTGTCCTGCAGGAGCGGGAGAGCGAAGACACTCAGCAGAGAACTTGGACCTGAGGTGGAAGGCCCATCCTCCTCCCCACACTTTTCCTCATCATGAACAGTACTGAATGCCTCCTAGGTGCCAGGTATGGTCTTATGGTACAACAGTGAGCAGACAAAGCTCACGGAGCCTGGAAAGACAACACACACACATACACACACACACACACATACACACACGCACATACACACCCCTAATGCCAGTTACGAGAGAATTATAAAGCAAATAACGTACAATTTAAATACAACAATCACCACACCAACAACTTCTGTGCACTGAGCAACTATTATGGGCCAAAATGGGGGGGGGGGGAGAACGAGAGGGGGGCATGGAGGAGGGAACCTGGAGACATTGGTGCTAGGAAATGTACTCTGGTGGAGGAATGGGTGCTGGAACACTGTATGACTGAAACCTTTATAATGCTCAATCTCACAGTAATTCAATAAAAAATAATTTAAAATATATATATACGATTGACTTATTATTATCTCCTTAAAACCCTATAGAGATGTCACTATTTTTCTCATTTTATAAACAAGAAAAACTTCAGTGTATAGCAGAGGTGGAAGGCAGGCCTAGACGGACACCCAAACTCTCATCACTGTGAATCTCAAATTAGTTGGCTTTATTATAAACTTTTGTCATCTGTTCCATTTATTAGGGTGCACAAATGAGACTTGCAACCAAATGGGAATGCAGCCCCTTCTGAGGGTGGTTGTCAAGAAGCTAAAATTAGACTTGGGGTAAACTTATCTTGAATGCCCTCCTGTTAAAAGCAAGTTTTGAGTTTAACAGAAGAAGGCCAATAAGGCTTTGCTGCAAGGGCTTGGGTTCTACTTGATAATGTAAGGGAACTGCTATTTCACTAACATAAAAAACAAAAAATAGCAAAAATTAAACAATAAAACTCACCATTAATGTTGCTTCTATGTGATGCAGGGGAATAAAACCTGTCGAAGCTATCAGTGCTGTGAAATTACATCAACTCTTAAATACGTCCCAATTAGAAAGTAGGATGGTCAATAAAAAAGAAACTCAAAATATGAGGCATATTAATGGATTTTATGCTTAACTTTTTTACAGAATTAAAAATCAGCAACCTTTATGACTCACTGAAAAAGATAATGGGATCAATAGAAATTTTAAACTGTAAAGTATTATTCTATTTAAAAATAAAACAGAAAATGGGAGACATTAATGTTGCAGGAAAACACTGACTTATGAGATTAAAATTAATCAGAAATGACCACTTCATAGGAATAGGTAACTCCATTTGTAAATGTTGACATTAATGCTCTAAAAAGATTTTGCTTCTGACTGAACAGAATATAAATGTGGCTGAACTACTTTGAAGCTGTGCTACTTTGTGGGAATTTACTACTCGGGAATTTATGCTTGCTGATGCCAATTTTCTCATTCACCTTGCAAAGCTCAATAAATCGTGGCTGTTCTCTATACTCTATTAGAGAACAATCGTGTCATTTTAAACCATGTCTGTAAACCATGGAGAAAAGACAATAGCAGAAGCAATCATTTTTAGAATGTTCAAAGCACTGAAAATCTTTTTTAAGATAAACTGATAAAAATCCTAATGTTAAGAAAATAAGCAATTCATTAACACAATCTGAAGCACCATAAACTAATAAATTACTTTAACAGTTAAATGAGTTTCTGTTTAGTGGTTGGACAATTTACTTATAGATCTAATATATACAATCTGTATATTAGATCTATATGCATCAATGTATATAAAATTTGATAAAGTAAAACATTTAAAGTTTCACATTCCTAAATATTGTTTTTACAACTGGGGAAAATATATGCTTCAGCTCGTAATGTTTCTATCTGGAAGTTTATCACTTTTTATTTTTTTTCTGATAGTAATCCCACTTGAGTAGTCCAACATATACTTTTCAATATATAAATTTTATTTAATTCATGTGATTCAAATACTTTCTTATTTTTGAAAGACTTGATGTTCCAAATTATCGTTTTTCTTTTTCATGTTAGGTACCTCAGTTCAAAGTGATGTTCATGCTAATTTTTATTAGCTGCTGTTTAGAGTTAGACATCCACCGCTATTTCCAACACTTCATTTCAGAATGGTCCATGGTGATCTTATAAGAGTTTTGCTAGGATAATGGTTGGAAAAGTGCAAAGGACCATCCCTGTGCCTAAGGAAATCCTGGCGCAGAGATGCTCAGAGGAGCAGGATATATAATAGGCAAAGAGGAAGAGGGAACTTCGAGCATGATATAACCTAGGTTCATCTAGACTTTCACTTTTAATTATTCCACTTATGTCTACAAAATGAAGCTAGAGCTCTAAGTATACAGTATGCATACTAATGTTCTATTATCAACATCAATTCATCTTGTTCCCCAAATTTACATTTTCTTCCGCCATGAAATTAGTCCAGAGGATGAACATTAAAACAAGTTAGAGTTAACTAACTCTTTACATCAGATTAAGTGACTTAAAAATGAAATTGGGCTACAATACAGACAGAAACTTGCCACAGCTTCCTTTATTCTTACTATCAGTTTTATCAGGGCTTTATATACAGATATGTCTTACCATTTTACAGACATTACATTTTTAAATGGAAATGGTACAGGATATTGATAAACCAATTAGCGCTGAAGCAAAGCAAATTCCTCTTTTATCTCAATTACAACATGACAACTTAATAGGTCAAGATAGTTTAACATCTGAGACAAGGGTAACTCAATAAAACAACAGCATCTTGATATGGTAATTAAAAGGAAATGCGAATCCATTACCGAGCTTTTAAAAACATCTTAAGCACTTTGGCTCTTTTTATTATTTTCATCAAAAGCTATGATACGAAAAAAATACTGATATGTGATTCAGTTTCTATGTAGTTTTGAGAAGTGTGAGCACTTGAATGGAGCATCCTGATTATTACACATTTCTTAAAATAAGAAATTTACACATATTATATTTGTGAAATATAAAACATTTCAAAATGTTTTATATTTAGGTGATTACTCATAAACAACATTCCTAGTAGACTGAAGTCTAAAATTAAGACATTAACCCTAAAACAGCTAAAAGGTTGATAACTAGTACAAGAAAAACAGAATTCTGAATCAAATAAAGCACAGTATAAATGCCATTTTATCTTCATATGAGAAAACAATACTTAATGTGAAGGTAACAAAACTACAGGCAAGTTAAAACTAAACTTGTGCATAGAGCTGTAGCTTTCTGAATGACACCTAGTTTTTCTTGAGAATAAATAACCAAGAGCCCCATTGATGTAGAATTTATATTTTAAAAAACATGTAAAAAGTTACATAGAGCATAATACTTGACTTCATTACAATTTAAAAAAACATGTTTTATATCATTTTTTTCCTTGTAATATACTGCCAAAATATGTTTACTTTTTGGGGTGGTGGTGATATTGGGGGAAGTTGGCCAAGTGCACCAGAGGGTGAGCATGTTGCGGTAAGGCCCTACAGTGCTCAGGCTTACCCAGGACACCCCTGCAGTGCTGGGTGGGGGCTCTAGGGCTGCATCCAGAGATACTTGGGATAACGTGCTGGGGATCAAACTGCACCTGCTACATGTAAGGCATGTGCCTTAACGGTTATTTCTTAGGTCCCAAGATAGAGTTATTTATTTATTTTTTCACTTCACTGTAATAAAAAAAAAAAGAGCTCCAATTTGAAAGGATAATATTATTGCAAAAAGTAACACAATATGGCACAATAACACAACATATCATGCTCTCCAGAGACCTTATTGGTTGTGAAGTTTAATAAGGAATTTTCAAAAAGGTTCCTAGACAACTTGAGTTCTTCCAACATGAAGACATCAAACAGAAAAGTTCATGAAAAACTGTTAGTATATAAAAATACAGTACTATTCAACAAACCTTATTCCAAGATTCATAGCTTCAGCAGTACCAATCATACTAATAGCTAGCAGCATATTGTTGCAGATCTTTGCAGCCTGAAAATAAATGGAGTACATATCAAACATTGTCATTTTCCAGTTAGGACTCGTAAGATGTTTTCTTTCCCATCACCTTACTTTCTAAAAGTAAGAGCACCAAAATACTTATTCTCTCAAGCAGGGCAAGATGGGCTGTGTGGACCTCTAAGCAAAAGTGAGCAGTCTCTTCTAGACCACAGGCACCCCAGAGTGGCAGCGCAGGTGAGTTTCGTTCAGGGAGTAGCACCGATCCGGAAGCAAAGCCTGCTCTTTGCTGCCCAGGCTGCCACTAGCATGGGGATCAGAGTTAACACTGAATGAGAAAGCCACGAGCAAATCAAAACCAATATGTGATAAACTGCAGCAAGGCTGTTCCTTAGAGATCATGATGAGTTCAGAGAAACAAGATCATTGAGGGCAGGTCAAGAGGAAGTAGAACCAAAAACCTCTTTTCAGAAAGTCAGAGGGTTTCAAAAGGCAATGGAGAAAAAGGAAGGAGAGCAGGGAAGAGGTAAATATGTAAGAGGGACTAAGGGACTAAATATAGAAGAACATTGGATGTTGGGGTGAAATCTGATCCGGACTGGGGCAAGGGCTATGAGAGTAGAGAGCTGGCACTGAAAGGAAATGGAGACAGTTTCAAGGGGAAGGATATGATGGCACAAACATCTTGATGGAGCTGTTTTGGGTACAGTGTTGAGAAGAGTTGTAGATCTGGCATTCAGAGATCCACAAGGCCGTCTGAGGAGCACATCAGGTGTAAGACAATGAAAGTGGACCAAGTAACGTGTGGGACATATAAGAGAATCAATGAGAGTCACTGAAGCAAAAGCCAATAGAATTTGGAGACTAACTAGATGAGGAAACAGACTGCAGACTGATCTAGAACATTACCAAAGTCTAGATCTGCACGTGCACAGAAAACAACTAGCTTGATTTCAGAGTTTGGCATTACCATGCGCCTCTATCTGAATAGAAAGGAGACGTATTTCTAAATGAAGATTATTCATATTTTAAGATAGGTTATTTCTACTCAACTATCCTACAGAGATTAGTAAGTATAAAACAAAAACAAACACTGTCCTCCCATTGTTCATCGATTTGCTCAAGTGGGCCCAGTAACGTCTCCATTTTGGGACTTGTTGTTATGGTGTTTGGCATATTGAATATGTCACGGGTAGCTTGCCAGGCTTTGCCGTGTGGGTGAGATACTCTCGGTAGCTTGCCGGGCTCTCCGAGAGGGGCAGAGGAATCGAACCCAACTTGGCCGGGCTGGCTGTGTGCAAGGCAAATGCCCTACCACTGTGCTATCGCTCCAGCCCATAGTAGTAAGTATAAGTACCTACAAAACTAGAAGAATGTCACTCACTGAGAAACCTCAGTGTGGCCAGCAGAAGCAGTTGTAAGGATGCTCTCAGTGGCCACTGAGATGACATGCCAAACTGTAAATGAGGGAACTTCCACTGTATTTTAAAAATTAGTTTATTAGCTGATGTCTACTTAACAGGAATGATGGTGAATTACTATAGGATCTACTTTTTGTTCATTTGTTTTTGGGTCACACTTGGTGATGCTCAGGGCTTATTCCTGGCTCTTACGTTCAGGGATCACTCCTGGCGGTGCTTGGGGAACCACATGTGGTGCCAGGCAATCAAATCCAGGTCAGCTGTGTGCAAGACATGCATCTTAACCCCTGTTCAGCCCTAAATGAAATTTTTACAATTTTAACAGAGAATTTCTAGATTGGACATAGTCACAGGAAGAATAAAACTGTGGTCACGGAGACAATGGTGGAGGGAAATGACACTCTGGTGGACCGTGTGGTGCTGGAACACTGCATAAAATCCTACCATCAACAACAGTGGAAATCACGGTGCTTCAAATGCAAAAAGCAAAAACTAAAAAATGTGGCTGGGCTGGGAAAAACAAATGAACATTAGTCGAGTTGACATCACCGAGAAGGTCACTAATGTGACCGTGTTACCTGCCCTGTCCCAACTGCACCGCAGTACACCACGTTGGAACCCATGCACTCCAGCAACTCTTTGGAAGCAGCGAATTCAGCTTCAACTCCTCCAACCATGAACGTGAGATTCCCAGAGCGAGCAGCTCCCACACCTGAATGACGGAGGAAGAGGGGGAATAAGAAACCAAGTGGGTAATTTCTTCAAGTGCTGAACTACATAGTGAAATGACGAGAAAACCTTTAAACCAAATGAAAGCAGCTTCCCTCCAATCTATACTTATTTCAAGCATGTGTAAGATACTGAAGATCTCACCTGGAATGTTTTAATAATCAGTATCACGCAGGTTAACCACAAACCCAAAGGACAAGTAGGTTCAGTCCAACTCTACTGCTCGATTCAGCTCAAGTATTTTGGTGCAATTGTGGCATGACAGATATGGGAATTTGAAATGTGAATCGTCTTGTTCTCATTCATCTATTATTCTCCTAAGACTCCTATTCAGTGATAAGCAAATGAGGAAGAGTTTGGTGATGGCCCTAGTGTAGCAGCACTGCATGTATGGAGCAATAACATGGGAACTATCATAAAACCATAGCACTAAATCATTTAATAGAAATAAGGAAAGTGGGGGAGGTCTTTGGCACTTTGGTGATGGTAGAGGTGCAGTAAATTTTTAAACCCAAAGCATAAATACCAACACTATTGTAACCATGTTACCACTACTACAAATAAAAATAAATAGGTTACTGAGAAAGGAAAAAGAATACCTGTTCCCTGGCCATGAGAACTGACTTGGAGTTAGGGTCTCTGGCTCACTTCATTTTCTTTTTTATGTACAGATGAGATCTACACAGAGACACAGCTCTTTTTGAGTGTTTGTGGCTTTTTGGGTCACACCCAGTGATGCTCAGGTATTACTCTGGCTCTGCACTCAGGAATTACTCCTTGTGGTACTTAGGGGACCATATGGGATGCCGGAGATTGAACCTGTGTGCAAGGCAAATGCCCAACCGGCTGTACTATGGCTCAAGCCCAGAGACACAGTTCTTTCCCCCAACAAACTGGTAGGAATTTCAGAGGGTAAGATTCTTTATGAAGATAAAGAAAACTGTTGCCAGTGTAGACAAGTTACTCCGTCATGTACTTCTCACTATAATTTTTCTGCTTCTTTCTATTGTTTATCCTTTTTGGGGTGGGTGAGATACTGGGGTCAAACGCAGGGCCTCAATCATGTGAGCCGTACACTCTACAAAACAGTTTATTTTCCAATCCCCGCAACATACTTTCTGAGCCATTCATTCCGAGTGATATGAGGGGGAGGAAGAAAGAAACTGGCTTGACTCCTCAGCAGCTTCCAACAATGGTCTGATACGTGTTCATTAACTACAATGATTAGAGAAACAACTTCTACTCAAGCACAAAACACACAACCTAGTCTTGTCTAGAGAAGTGCAGAGGGAAGTTCTGTTATAACCTACACATTTATTACCTCTAAAATAAAACAGGCTTTTTTCCACTCTGGAGAAGCCCAAGTTCTCTCCTAAACATGTATCTCTCTTTTTCTGACCTAACATTTCTCTATTTTTTTCAATAAAAACTATTTTGCTTCACAGAAAAATAGTAAGAATAAAAAGAATGTTATTACTGAATATTTTTTTTCTTTTTGGGTCACACCCAGCAATGCACAGGGGTTACTCCTGGCTCTGTGCTCAGGAATTACCCCTGGCGGTACTCCGGGAACCATATGGGATGCTGGGAATCGAACCTGGGTTGGCCGCGTGCAAGCGCCCTACCTGCTGTGCTATTGCTCCAGCCCCTACTGAATAAATCTCAATTTATAATGTTCAAGCTAGATGTTATTGCTAGAAAACATCTAAAATTATGTAAAGGGGGTATAAAAGGCAATATTTGCCTTTTAAAAACCTTTACTTTACAGTATACTGAGGAATTTAAAAAAAAAAAACAACTATAGGTACCAAACTAGGCCATTAGAATTGATAGCTACAAGAAATTGCCTACTTCTAAATTTATTTCATGAAATATATAGTTTTTATACCCAAAACACCCAAGTGAGGAGATCCAGATTTCATTCAAACTGTATTTCCCTAACACCAATTCAAGCAGCCCTTTTATTTTACAGTAATATTATTTTTAGCTAATTATTAAAAGCAAAGAAACCTAGCATGTAACTCTGTGGCAGAGTATATGCCCTGGGTTTGCGCCCCACCAAAATAAGCAGTGACCCCCCCAAAATTAACAAAAGCCCCCCAAAATTAAAAAACAAAAAGCAAAAGACATCAATGCTCACTACTTAAGTCAATTTTTAAATCAGAAATGCCCACATATTACAGAAAGCTGAGAAGTAGTGCACTTAGCTAAGTTATATTCTTTCACTGAATATAACTTAGTGAAAGTGAATATAATATTCACTTTCTCAGGCACACTCTAATTATGTACAAAACTAATGACAACTATGCTTTTGATATGTCAATCTGTGTTGTTTGAACACTTAAATACTTTTGAAGTTTAAGTGATTGTCACATTGTAAGCCTTCAATTTACTTCACTGAGATGCTGGATCATTAATGGCTACAATTACTTTGCTCAATTTCTTTAGTCATTTTTATTCAAACCACCTAGTCACCCTTACTCCTAATTCCTAAATCTGACTTAAGGAAACTAAGTAGAGGATTTAAGTCAAATCTTACAAATAAACCCAGCACGAGCCATCATAGGTCAATAATTTTATACCTAGATTAAGGTAAAGGTAAAGGTAAAGGCCCTCCCGTTGATCGTCGATTTGCTTGAGCGGGCCCAGTAACGTCTCCATTGGAGACTTTGTTGTTACTGTGTTTGGCATATCAAATACTCTCGGTAGTTCGCTGGGCTCTCCGAGAGGGGCAGAGGAATCGAACTCGGGTCGGCCATGTTGGCCGCTTGTAAGGCGAACACCCTACCCGCTGTGCTATCGCTCCAGCCCTGTATATCTAGATTTCAGACTGCTAAATCACCTCAGAAAGTCATTTATTAAAGGAAAATTAAAACTGACAATGGTTTTCAGCTGATTAATCTTCTGACAGGTGTATTTTCTCACTTGTTTGAACACATATTTCAAAAGGAAGAAATCACAATAGAAAAAAATTATCGTTTAATTCAGAAGTATATGGTATTTCTACTCTTAATGACTCTCAGTTCTCCAACTTTATCATACTTACATTTCTGCATAAATATTTGACTAAAGATCTTAAGTAAACTACTGGAATTACTTTTTGGTAAAGCTATTCTGAAGTTCTGGCATTCTTAAGGAGCAAGTTCTAACTTTCCACACATATTCAATTTTAATTCAAGTCCATGTCCACAAATAGGAAAATACTATTGAGTGCTTATAAATATATACTCAAGTAGCTGCTAGGCTACATGTCAAAGTACTAATTTTACCCTCTATATTAATAAATGCATATATAAAACCAAAAGATATCCTGTGCTAAATTCTATATGTAGCACTGTTCTCCCGTTGTTCATCAATTTGCTCGAGTGGGAACCAGTAACATCTCACAACAAATTGTGAGACTTGCTGTTACTGTTTTTGGCATATTGAATACTTCACAGGGAGCTTGCCAGGCTTTGCTGTGCGGGCGAGATACTCTCAGTAGCTTGCCGGGCTCTCTGAGAGGGCAGAGGAATCGAGCCGGAGTTGGCTGAGTGCAAGGCAAACACCCTGCCCGCTGTGCTATTGCTCCCAGCCCGTAACAGTAGAGATGAATTAAAAAAAAATATTTTCTATATATCTTCTTTACAATGTCTCTTGAAAGGCTATAGCTCTATAATGAATAATCTTTATAGCCTGAGGAGCACTTCCTATTCATTTACTGATAAAGTAGAAACTAAGACTAACTTACAGAGTAAATTCATAAGCATTAATTAAAAACTCTTAGATATATAAAAGTCAGGATTCCAAAGCATTCTAAAACTTCACCCAAATAGATACCATGGTTTGTCTCCTTTTGCTTTATCAAAACTTTATTCATTTTATCATTCAACTGCTTATTCTGTTGCTAAATACTCTTCACAAGTCTTTACCTAAGTAAGTTTGGCTTCATAGGAATTTATTTTATTCTGTGGATCACTGATCTCCAAATTAGGGCAAGTTGAAATTTTTATCTACAGAGGTATGGATTCAGACTTTTTTCCTTTGGTGCTGGGAAATGTACTCTGGTGAAGGGACAGATGTTGGAACACTGTGTGACTGAAATCTAATCATGAACAACTTTGTAACTGTATCTCATGGTGATTCAATTTTTAAAAAAGAATAAAATGTAAATTTATTGAAGGTAAATAAAACCAGATTTTCTTCTTGGAAGATGTATTAATATTGCTTTACTTCACACTTCTGCACTTACCATTTTTTAAAGTTTGTACTTAAAAGATGTGGTACAAGTGCACATATAATTTATAAATAGCCATGCCTTGTTGGAATATGTAGTGAACTTATTTTACCAGGAGAAAGGCAAAAAGACCTACACAGCAAAAAAGACCACAAATTTAAAATATCATTACTGGGAATAGGCAGATAAGGCACTTGCCTTGCAGTTAGCCTAGGTTCGACCCCCAGCACCACAGAAGGTTCTCCAGTAACGTCAGGAGGGACCCCTGAGCACAGAGTCAGGAGTAAGCTGAAGCCTCTGTGCTTTCCCAAATCTCTTTAAAACCTTTGATTTTCTTACTTGATTCTTCCATTACAGTAAAAACTCTTACAAGGTCCGTAGTGAGGTCTTAAGTAAACATTACCATTACTTATTAAAGTGCACGATAAATTCAAGATACAGTGTAGGATAGGTAAACTTATGAGCATGGCAGAAAAAAAAATAAAAGGATATGGAGATGGAATAACAAGCTTGTGGGATGTGCCACAAAAATTTACCTGTGTTCTTATATTTTTTAAAAATCATCGAACTTTTCTGCATCTCTACATAAAATAAGAAAACCACGATAAGTTCTCAGCCTAAACATTCACTGGCTTGGGCCAATCTGTAAACAGTGGAAACAGGCAGGTTGAGGTTAAGGAATACTGGCGTGATCCACTGCCAGGGACGCTCTGCTTACTGAGACCTCTGGTAAAGTCTCTCAAGAGCAAGTCGCATCGTGTTTGGGG